TGTTAGCTGTACATGCCTGCCTAGCATGGTTCATCTGACCTTGACCTCATTTTCATGGTTCATTGGTCAATGTTTAGTTTACTTGGTTAATGTTAAGTTTATGTGACAGTTGTAATAAAGCTTTATATTTAGGACTATAAACATAATATCAATGATTAGTAAAGAAGGCGAGACATTTCAGCGTGTGCACTCTTGTTTTCAAACTATAAGCAATAGGTCAACTATATATTTGTTGTATGGAAGGATTGTAAGCTGTACATGTCTGCCTTGCATGGTTCATTTGACCTTGACCTCATTTTCATGGTTCATTGGTCAATGTTTAGTTTTCTTGGTTAAGTCTGTTTCTTAGAAACTATAAGCAATAGGTCAACTATATTTAGTGTATTGAATGATTGTAAGGTGTACATGTATTTCTCGTTTTGTTAATATGACCTTGACCTCATTTTCTTGGATCAAGTTAAGTTTATGTGATAGTTGTAGTAAAACTTTATATTTAGGACTATTAACATAATATCAATGGTTAGTAAAGAAGGCGAGACATTTCAGCGTGTGCACTCTTATTTTTTTTCCATGAAGTCACTGAACCATGAAAACGAGGTCAAGGACAATGGACATATGACAGACGGAAACTTCATAACATTAGGCATCTAAATACAAAGTATGAAGCATCCAGGTCTTCTACCTTCTGGATTATTAAGCTTTTTAGTAATAAGTTAACGCCACCGGATCACTATCCCTATGTCTCACTTTCTGCGACTTCTTTCTGCAAGAGAAGTCGCAGGCAAGACAATAATATACAATATGTAATTCAAGAAAGTGTTAAATAATAATTCAGAAAATAAAATATAAGTGCATCAATTTTTCAAAAATGAGTGCTTCCACTTATGTTCAAAAAGGAAAACTAAGATCATTTTGTAGATACTGCATTTAAGTTGGCACAAGGATGAGAAATAACAATAAATATGAAAAACATAACATTTATTCAACAATATTTTTTATAAGGAGACAATAATCAGAGTGAAAGCATAGAACAACTGCAATAATTTTTTGTCATACATAGCAAGTTATGTACTTCCAATTGCTTAGAAAACAAATTCATTATACTACTATAAATTACGAATCAATCTGGAATTTATGCATATAAAACTATACTTTTCAAAATTTGAATTGATGATGGGGTATACTAATTTGGGTAAATTTGTCAACTTGAACAAAATAAGTGTCGAACCATGCCTGCATTTGAAATCTTTCCAATTTTTCTGTCAAGCTAATTACATATCCATTTACAATAGACAAAGATAATTTTAACAAATAGCAGCCACTCAATAGTTTTCCATCACAAAAGTAAATGTTTATAAGATGGAGTCTGATGGACAAGGAACTTTTTTCTAGCTTACATGTTATTTTTATTTCACTTTATATATGTAAGCTTTGCTCTTGAAAAGTAATTAAGGCTGCACAATACAGATTTTTTCCCTCCAATCAGACAACTTTAAACTGGGCGTTATTCCATACAGGTTAAAAAAAGAAAAATAAATGTGGATTGTGGACACAGATGATGCCCCCCCTTGCATATCATATAGTTATAAAGGGACATAACTGAAGAACGATAAAAGTGATGCTACCCAAATTTGAACTTGATCTGAGTTTTGTGGTAATAAGCATTGTGTGTAAGTCTCATAACATTTGGCAATTTTTCTTTTTGTAAACACGCATAACTCTAGGACGGTTGTGTATAAGTTTTATAACATAAGGTTGAGACAAACTAAAGTTAGAGAACGGAAACGAAAAATTCAGCAATTTTTATGTTTATAAAGGGACATAACTCAAGAATGGTAAAAGTGTCGCCACAAAATTTCGTACTTAATCTGTATTATGCAGTAATAAGCATTGTGTATAAGTTTCATAACATTTGGTTGAGGCAAACTAAAGTTAGAAAACGGAAACAAAAAATGTGGATAGTGTCCACATGTGGACACAGATGATGCCCCCGCTTGCATATCATATAAACTAAAGTTAGAAAACAGAAACAAAAAATTTGTACTTGATCTTAGTTTTGTGGTAATGAATATTGTTTATAGGTTTCATAATGTTTGGTTGGGCCAAACTTAAGTTACAGAATGGAAACTAAAAATTTTGCAATCTTTCGAATAATGGTTAAGTGACACTACCAAAATTCAACTTGATCTGTGTTTTATCAGTGGACGTCAAAATTAAACATTGCATTGTATAAAGCATTGATTGTAGTTGATTCAACTATAATCATGGACAAAGGAAGATAACTCCAATTTTAAAAATTACTTGATATTTAGAAGAAAATAAAAATTTAGCAATTTTTCCATTTATAAAGGGCATAACTCTAGAAAGGTTAAAGTGATGCCACCAAAATTCAAACTTGATCTGTGTTTTGTGGTAATAAGCATTGTGTATAAGTTTCATAACATTTGGTTGAGGCAAACTTAAGTTAGAGAACAGAAACTAAAAATTTTGCAATTTTTCCATTTATAAAGGGGCATAACTCTAGAACGGTTAAAGTGACACCACCAAAATTCAAACTTGATCTGGATTTTGTGGTAATTAGCATTGTGTATAAGTTTCATAATATTTGGTTGAGGCAAACTTAAGTAAGAGAACAGAAACTAAAAATTTTGCAATTTTTCCATTTATAAAGGGCATAACTCTAGAACGGTTAAAGTAACGCCACCAAAATTCAAACTTGATCTGTGTTTTGTGGTAATAAGCATTGTGTATAAGTTTCATAACATTTGGTTGAGGCAAACTCAAGTTAGAGAACGGAAACCAATTTTGGGACGTACGTACGTACGTACAGATGGACAAGGGTAAAACTTAATGCCCCCACCGCTACGGCGGGAGCATAAAAATGTTGTCATAAAATTTCTGAGGGGCATGAAATCTATAAAGTTATATTCACCCTCATAAATAATGTTGGCTAAATATTTACAAAAATATCAGTATTAAAAATATGTTGATCTGTCAAATAGAAATTTAAGAGGGACAGAGGCAAGATTAGCAGCATTAAACAATGAAAAGCTTAACCTAGATTATTAAAAAACTTTAAACATTGTCAACCTATCAATTAACAAATTTTATGTAGCTCAGTTTACATTGTAATGAATTCATGGCCAAGTTTAAAGTTGATGAAGACACTGCACATTAAACTGTCATAAATAAATTAACTGCTGTCCAGAACTAACCCCTGCAATTCTAAGCAGGATATCTATATCCAAAAACAGTTGTTATATTGTGGTTTCTGTCTATTGCAATGTTTTACATGAAAAATTTATGTAAATTCCTCATCTCACATGTTACAAAGATATACCTTTCAAAATGTTATGATGTTGATAAAAACATTACATTTGTGTTATAAAAACAAACACATGCCATTTCAGAGATATTGTATACATATTCTAAAAGTTTTATAAGGGAACATCTCTTTTAAACAGTGTCCTTAGCAGCTTTTTATGATTAATTGTCATTGATTTAGAAGTTCATCCAAACAAAATAAAGCTGAAAGTGACAAAATTTATCCCAAAAACAACAACAAATAGTCACTAGACTCACTACCCATAAAAAATTACAAATTACATAAAAGTTTCATAAAATCTATAAACATATATTGCACTCTTTGTTTAAATGATACACATCTTGTTTAGATAAGGTACATTTTATGAAAATCTTTTCATCTGGTTGATGTTGACATGGGTATTTAATTGGTAACTTATTTCAACATGAAGTTTGTCTTCCGCATTCTGTGCATTTTTTTATACAAAAACTTGAATATGCAATATTTTCTGTATAATTCTTATATGTTCAGTGTTGTCATGTGGAATGTCTTTTTAAACTGTGTTAATAGTTTAAAGTAGAAACATTTTATCATTTTCATTATATTATACAGATATCAGGAATGTACACAGAATTGTCTTACTTTACATCATACAGATAAAATGACCAAATCATCTATGAACAAGCTATTCTATTATTAAATACACTGATACAGCTACTACACTACTACAGGTAACAAACTTCTGTAAGTTAAAATGACTAGACTTGTATATGAAGCATAGATATCTACAGCTATCATTCTAAAATCAAATATCACAGAATATTACTAGGTGGATTAATTTTTGAGCTTATAACAGTAAGTCCTATCTAGTTTAGGGTTATCTACTATAGTAGTGATTTTAAAAGTTATTTCACTGAAATGGTCAATGGGATGTGTGATTTTCAAAGTACCGGTAGATAGATTTTGTTTTCCTGATAATTTTATGAATTCAAAATTTCAATCTACCTACTGTAGTTTTCCAAGATAATACTCAAAAACAGTGAACTTCTCCAATATATGATATTTCAGGGGCCATAATTCCAAAATGGCTTTCAATTTTTTCTGAATTTTCCAGGGTCGATAGATCTTCTCCTGCTGATCATTACTGCAAAATTATCAATTTTCATCTAGCTACTACAGTTTTCGAGATAATGGCAAAAAAGGCAAAATACACAGCAGTCGATTAACAATTTTAGCAGTTAAATTGCAGTTTATCTTTTTACAACAATCAAAGAACCAATCCCACATAAAAGACTTATATATGTGATCTTGAGTCTATTTTGATTCAATATTGAACAAATTTACTAACTTACTTATCCAGCATATAAACTATTTCATTATCAAAATCAATAGATTCTTCATATTCTGAACAAATAGCTAATTCAAAAGTAAACAAGAGGCTCATGAGAGCATGATATCGCTCACTTGTAATTTCAGTTTCAGGCATTGGACTTATTTGTAGATCTTACTTTGCTGAACAATTTTGTCATTTACACTTTCTCTCTTTCTATAATAATGTTAAAGATAATACATAACCCAAAACTGTAAAATTTCCTAAAAATTCACTATTTCTGGACATTAACCCGACAATAAGTTGTCCTATTGGTCTGAAGATTACTTGACAGGTAGATCTAAACCTGTTTAACACTTTCACCTATGTCAGTTTTGCTCTTACTGCTTTAGTTTTTGAGATGAAAGCCAAAAACTTCATTTGACCCCTTTGTTCTATTTTTAGAAACTGCCCCATGTTTTTGAATGGATCAAATCCCCGAAAACAATCTATAAACTAAATACCCTAAGGAACATTCAATTAAAGTTTTTTTAAAAGTATTTGGCCAAGTAGTTTCAGAGAAGATTTTTGAAAAAGAAATTAGACTTTCACAAAAAATGTAAAAAAAAAACATTTTAAGGGCAATAACTCCTTAACGGGACAATTGACTACTTTGTAGATCTTACTTAGCTGAACATTTATTGCCATTTATACTTTCTCTTTATCTATTATAATACTAAAGATAATAACCAAAAAACAGTAAAATTTCATAAAAATAAACTATTTCGGACAGCAACCCTACAATGGGTGGTCCAATTGGTCTGAAAATGTTTTAGAAGATAGATTTTGACTTATTCATCACTTTAACTCCATGTCACTTTTGCTCTAACTGCTATAGTTTTTGAGATAAAAGCCAAAAACTGCATTTGACCCCTATGTCCCATTTTTAGCCATAGCGGCCATGTTTGTTAATGGATCAAAACTACGGATACAATTTATAAACCAGTTGCCCTACGGAACATTCAGTTAAAGTTTAGAAGTATTAGGCCTAGTAAATTCAGAAGAGAAGATTTTCAAATGTTAGCAAACATGATGAACATATTGTGTAAAATAACTCCTTAAGGGGGTCAATTGACAATTTTGGTCATAAACTTTTTTGTAGATCTTACTTTGCTGAACATTTTTGCTGTTTACAGTTTATCTTTATCTTCAATAATATTCAAGATAATAACCAAAAACTGCAAAATTTCTTAAAAAAACCAATTTAGTGGCAGCAACCCAACAATGGATTGTTTGGTTCGTCTGAAAATTTCATGGCTGATAGATCTTGACCTATTGAACATTTTTACCCCCATGTCAGATTTGCTCTAAATCTTTTAGTTTTTGAGATATAAGCCAAAAACTGCATTTGACCCCTATGTTCTATTTTTAGCCATGGCATCCAGGTTTGTTGATGGATCAAAACTTCGGATACAATTTATAAACTAGATACCCTAAGAAACATTCAGTTAAAGTTTGAAGGTATTTGGCCCAGTAGTTTCAGAGGAGAAGATTCTTGAAATAGTTTACGACGACAGACGACGGAAGACATAAGCTCATAGGGCCATGTGAGCTAAAAATATTTAAACTTCTCTGGTTTGTGATTATGATAAAACTTAGTTAGACTAATGTAGACAAAGACTATCAGCACCATTGAATGTACCCGTTGGATAGATGTATATTTCTACACTAATTATATAAATAAATGCTGCAGATTTTGCAAAGCATAATATCATTGAATCTTAAAGTTTATTTATTATGTAATTTTAGAAATAAGTACTATTTCCAAAAAGACTGATTCTTTGCAATTGTCCAGACATCTTCGACTGTTGTAAATTTAAAAGTTAAACCACAACATATTAATTCTGAAACTGAATCAGGATATACAATAAAAGCTAAACAAGAGAATTGAAGCTGGATCTTTCACGCTACAAAATAAATTCCCACGACTAAAAAAAAAAATACTGAAAATAACAATGAGTGTCAATTTTAAGCTAGTTTCTACAAAATAAAGACAACCAATCTTTAAACTCTGTATAACAAAATTAACAGATAAGACCACTAAAAATTGTATATAATATCCAACAATAACTAGATAACTGGATTATAAGATTATGAGGTTTTCTTGTCTTTATTTTGCCATACAAAGCTGTAATTGTCTTCCTGTTCTTGGTATTTATTTGCTTCCTGCGCTGCTTCATGATCTCCTCCCTAAAATAAATATTTTAACAATTGTATTACCATCCTCTCTCAGGGTTAATCCAGGTATTTGTCAATTCTATTACCATCCTCTCCTAGGGTTAATCCAGGTATTTGTCAATACTATTACCATCCTATCCCAGGGATTTATCCAGTTATTTTGGTAGGGATCTCAGAGGTTTTTGGAAATGTTCACTGGTTTCCATGATAATTGGAAAAGTTGAAAGTTTTAAATGTGTGCTGTAGTCAAATGAGTATCTCTTTCATTGCAAAAAGTTTTGTGTCAAATTGTACGTTACTGTCACACATTACTTAATTGTTCATCTAACAGATAGAATAGCATGAATCAACAAGTTCTTTGTATTTTTAATTGTTAGCTTTATATTTAATGATTTCAGGTTTTCCTTTCTAAGTCTTATTATTTAGAAAGCCCTCTGCTAAAATAAGTACGTAATCTAATGTCCTTATTTAATTCACAACTGAAATAGTCTATATCACTACTTACCAGTATAGAGACTATCATATTTTTAAATGCATCTGAATCATCTGCTGATAACGTTTTAATTGGTTCTCCTTTCTTGTCATAATAACCAGCTGTTATTATTTTAACTTGTACTTTGCCACCTGTAAAAATAAAGTAATAATAAATAATAATAGAAACTTTTCAAAGTAGGATTTGCATTGAGGGCCATATTTGGCCAAAAATTGAAGTATTGCAAAATGTGATGATTTTTGCATAATGATAATCAATATGGATGTGCAAAGTTTAAATCATAAGGAATTTTAATAATAATGAATATCATTTGTTTGCACCTGTCCTAAGTCGGGAACCTGTTGTTTAATGGTTGTCGTTTGTTGATGTGGTTCATAAGTGTTTCTCGTTTTTCATATAGATTAGACCGTTGGTTTTTCTGTTTGAATTGTTTTACACTAAGTCATTTTTGGGGCCCTTTATAGCTTGCTATTCGGTGTGAGCCAAGGCTCCGTGTTGAAGGCCATACTTTGCCCTATAATGGTTTACTTTTTATTAATTACGACTTGGAGAGTTGTCTCATTGGCACCCATACCACATCTTCTTATATCTATCAACTGATATTTTGCAGGTTTTCATTTTAGTATTTGAGGACTGAACTTGGATTATAACTTAATGTAAATCAATGAAGCCTAAATTTCAAGAATAAAGTTACTTACTTTGGGGGAGAAGATGTAATACTCAACAAGATGCATCCTTAAACAATATTATGTGACTGTATGTTTTATGTATCTGAGAATTTTGAAGTTAAACTTGAAAACTTGATTAAAACAGTCAAATGACGATCTTTGGAACATGAGCGAGAAAGACTCTCATAGATGCATGTGCACATTATGTAGCTGCTCGTAAATCAGTTTTTTGAACTGGCTGTGAATGTGCACATCATATAGATGTAGATACCAAAGGCACCCCAGTATATTGCCCATCAAATTTGTTGAGGTCCAATAAAAAGTTATACAAAACCTTCAAATTTTCTACCTGCTAAATCTAAACCTGCTTTTTCCAATTCATCTTTTATCTGAATTTCTACATTTTCTATTTCTGACGTCTGTTTTTTATCATCTGTTTTCTGTAAATCTTTCTTGTTAACTCGTGTGACTCGAACTTTTACTCTATCATCACTGTCAGGTCCTTAAAAACCAAATAAATAGGGTCAGTTAAGTTTCATAAAATTTACAATGGTCTACATTTTGATTTTACATTCAATTGGGTGTCAGTTGTTCCAAAAATGAAATTTAACACTAAGAATTACTTAAAAAGAATGTTACCAATCATAACAAAGCACTTTTCCCATTTGACTGATGTGGTGTTCAAACTACAAAAGTAATTCATATGGCAACGCCATCCTTGTGGATTCTTGAAACAAAATTCAGTAAAATAATGACTGTATGCACTAGAAAAATAGCATTTTCTTTGCGAGTCAAAGAAACAAATCATCAACAGATAAGAAAATGACGGACAAGGGTTATATTGGAAATGGGAGCAGACAGTTAAGACACCAAAAAGAATAGGACACTATGTGACTCAAAACCCTAATTTTATAAATATTTGTTTTTAAATACTTCATAATGAGCATGTGTACCATAGTTTGACATATATTTTAAAACTTCACATCATAATAAACACTAAGTTTCAAGTTAATGTGACCACAACTTCATGGTAAACTATCTCGATCAAAAACTTCAAACTGACATGGGTTGACAGACAGATGCACAGATAGGAAACACTATGCCCCCTAATATAAATTTAGTTGAAATCTGTGCACTTGAATGTTTACCTATTTTGCTGCCTTTTTTTTAAATGGTAGATGGATATCATGCTCTATGTAGATATCAAATAGGTAACAACATAGCCTTGAATTGCTTTTATGCATTTTGGTGGCCATTTCAAAAATGTGGTTGATAAATAATTTTGACAATCTATCAATTTGGAACAGCATAGCATATTATACCTATATATTAATTTTCATTGAAAATCTAGCACCAATAAAATGCTCCGCAGGGCGCAGCTTGATATGACCGCAGAGGTCGAACCCTGAACAGTTGGGGCAAGTATGGACACAACATTCAAGCTTGATACAGCTTTGCATTTGGATTGTGATTAAATATTTGACACAGCATAGGTTTCTGACACAGAATGAATATGGTCTAAGAACTTAAAAATTTTAAATTGGACATCCACCTATTATGGTCCAATATCCAAAATCTAAATACATGGTTAGATTCAGCATATCAAAGAACCCCAAGAATTCAATTTTTGATGAAATTAGACAAATTTTAATTTTGGACCCTTTTGACCTCAATGTGGACAAAGTTGATAACGGGGCCCAAAAATCAAAAATCTAAATACATGGTTAGATTCAGCATATCAAAGAACCCCATATATTCAATTTTTGTTGAAATCAAACAAAGTTTAATTTTGGACCCCGATTTGGACCAACTTGAAAACTGGGCCCATAATCAAAAATCTAAATACATGTTTAGATTCAGCATATCAAAGAACCCTAAGAATTCAATTTTTGTTAAAATCAAACTAAGTTTAATTTTGGACCCTTTGGACCTTAATGTAGACCAATTTGAAAACGGAACCAAAAATTAAGAATCTAAATACACGGTTAGATTCGGCATATCAAAGAACCCCAATAATTCAATTTTTGATGAAATCAAACAAAGTTTAATTTTGGACCCTTTGGACCTCAATGTGGACCAATTTAAAAAGGAGGCCCAAAATCCAAAAACTAAATACACTGTTAGATTCAGCATATTAAAGAACCCCAAGAATTCAAGAATAAAACCCCATTGAAATTGGTCAAGAAATAAGCAATTTATATGAAGTATCTTCTTTTGCACAATACTGTGCAATTAAATATTTCTTGCTATTGCGCAATACTGTACAATTGACAATTTCTTGCTATTGCGCAATATTGTGCTATTGGATATTTCTTGCTATTGCGCAATACTGTGCAATTGAAGATTTCTTGCTATTGCGCAATACTGTGCAATTGAAGATTTCTTGCTATTGTGCAATACTGTGCAATTGAAAATTTCTTGCTATTGCACAATACTTATTATATAATAATTAACACATCCTGTTTGGTGTGTATCTCCTACCATATCATTATTACTTGCTTTTAAATATAAATCAGAAATAACCAACTTAAAATGGAAAATTTTAAAAGAAAAGAAAAAGGAAAAAAAGAAAAAAAAGGAAAAAAAAAAAAAATCCCCCCCCCCCCAAATTTTTTGAACCCCCTTATGATTCATCACCCCCAAACTCAATCCCAGCCTTCCCTTTGTGGTCTGGTACCTTGCAGTACAATTTCAGAGAGATCCATACACTTGAACACAAGTTATTGTCTGGAAACTAGAAAAATGTGTTTTTTGGCCCCTTTTTGGCCCCAAATTCCTAAACGTTTAGGGCAATTACCCCCAAACTCAAACCCAGCTTTACATTTGTGATATGGAACCTTGTAGTACAATTTCAGAAAGATCCATACACTTACACACAAGTTATTGTCCTGAAACTAGAAAAATGCTTGTTTTTTGCCCCTTTTGTGGTATTAAACCTTGTGGTAAAATTTCATAGAGATCCATTCACTTAAACTAAAGTTAGAGTGCGAAAACCAATGTGTCTTCGGACGACGACGACGACGACGACGCCAACGTCATACCAATATACGACCACAAAAATTTTTTTGCGGTCGTATAAAAAGGAGTTGTCTGGAAATTTTAAATAATCTTTTACAAAAATTTAGTTTTTACCACAAATATTTCCCCCCTGTTTTCTACATATGAAGCACAACATCTGTACACAATTGCATTCTAGTAATACCCATTCTTTTAGAAATTTTGCAGTCACAAAATGTATTTCTCAAAATTTACAAAACAAATTGAGCCCCTTCTTTCTGTAAATATAAACACTTTGAATGGCCATAATTAACCAATTCACCAAAATCTATCTATAAAGATATTGGGACATCATAATTTGGATTCATTGATAAATACCAATATCTATGGGTTGAGAAATTTGACTCTTTCTATGGAACGTAGTTTCCTTCTCTAAACTTATATCAAAGCATCAGATTTTTGCTTTTACTGGTATATGAATTTACTGGTTTGCAAATAAATTCCTTTAAAACTTGTTTCTTATAAGAATTAGCACTAAACGTTTTTATTTTTTTAGGAAAGCCATAATTTTACTTACATCATAATATCATAAAAAAGGTAGAAATATGAATGTCAATTTCAGCTTGATTGGTCAAGCATTACCTTGAATTTTTTCTTTTATATCTGTTTCCTCTTTCAATGCAGTCAAATCATCAGTGGCTTCTTCTATATGTTTATCAACCTTGTCTATTTCTGAAAAAATGCCAGTACAGATGTTTTAAACACAGGAACTACCACATACCATCTTATCCTCTTTCTGATACACATAGAAGGATTATCTCACCAGCAGAACAAAAAAGTGTGTCAGTTGTCAGTTTCAGTTCAGAGGTGAAATATTCAATCAACACAAAAGTATTTGGCTTCAGTTGATTCCCTAGTTCTGATGTACTTTTTCTCTTTGCTTCAACAATTACTCAATGTTATGATAAACATAGTTGAAAGTATGGTTATACCTGCAGGAATTTACTACAAAGTGATATTTCACACCATGCTTTACTATGATATCATTTACCGGTATAAGGTTTAGGAATTGTCTTTTTAATCTTGCTTATTGACTTTATAAACATATGGATCAAGATTTGGTCCACATAAAACACTGACTTAGTCTTGCAAATGGCTGTTTGACTGATCATTCAAAAAATATTTTCTTGGAATCAGGTGGTCCATGAAACTGAGAAAAAAATATAACAAATTGTCTGCATATAATTACTGCTGTCAGTGTGAAAGTGTAATGTTGACTGCCAAATTTAAAAAAAAAAATATTAACTGTTTACTCAGAGATATGTGTTGCCTTTTGTAATTTTGATATTTAAATGCAAATGTTAAATATGGTAATAGTAAAACATGTAAACTATGCAAAACATTTAAAGTCAATGAACCATGAATGAAGGTGAAGGGCCAAATAACCTCCATGGAAATGAGAAATGCCAATGCTTTTACAACTGCATAACAATTATCATTCACTGAATATTGGTGGTTAATCTTAAACTGATCTAATCACAAACTATGTGAAATATTCAGTCATTAGACAATGACAGAAGGTGATGAGCTAAAATAAATGGAGAATGTGTCTATGGGCCACAGATGCCCCGCTTGTAAATATGCATGAGTCAACTTCCACATACAGATGCAGGATTCATGTAGTTAAGACTGTTTTGTGAATATAAGCATTGTGTAAAAGTTTCATAACATTTGGTTGAGGCAAACTAAAGTTAGAGAATAGAAACAACAGATTTAGCAATTTTTCCATTTATAAAGGGGCATAACTCAAGAACGGTAAAAGTGATGCCACCCAATTTTCGAACTTGATCTGTGTTTTGTGGTAATAAGCATAGTGTATAAGTTTAATAACATTTGGTTGAGGTAAACTAAAGTTAGAGAAAGGAAAACGAAAAATTCAGCAATTTTTATGTTTATAAATGGGCATAACTCATAAACCGTAAAAGTGAGGCCACCCAATTTGAACTTATTCTGTATTTTCTGGTAATATGCATTGTATATATGTTTTATAACATTTGGTTGAGGCGAAAAATTCAGCAATTTTTATGATTATAAAGGGGCATAACTTATGAACAGAAAAAACTGACGCTACCCCAATTTCCAACTTGATCTGTATTTTGTGGTAATATGCATTGTGTATAAGTTTTATAATATTTGGTTGAGGCAAACTAAAGTTGGAGAATGGAAACATTTATGTTTATAAAGGGGCATAACTCATGAACGGTAAAATTGACACCACCCAATTTCGAACTTGATCTGTGTTTTGTGGTAATATGCATTGTGTATAAGTTTTATAATATTTGGTTGACAAACTTAAGTTAGAGAACAGAAACCATTTTTGGGGATGTTCGGGACAGACAGACGGGACGGATGGACATGGGTAACACTTACCCTCCGCTACGGAAATGAGATGTGAAAAAGCTAATACATCTGCACGCCAAATATCTTTGACCTACCACTAATGGTTCCCCATAAACTGACCTAATTACCAACTAATTCATGTAAACTATGCAAAAGTTTCAAAGTCGAATGACTATAACTGACGGGCAGGGCAAAATAATTTCTATGGAAATAAGATGTGCTAATGCTCATACAACTGCATGCCAAATATGATTGACCTACCACTAGTGGTTCCCTATAAATTGGTCTAATAACAAACTAATACATGTAAACTAAGCAAGTTTCAAGGTCAGTAGACCATGACTGAGGGGGCGGGGTCAAATTATCTCCATGAAAATGAGATGTGCCAATGCTAATACAACTGCATATAAAATATCATGGACCTACTATTGTTCCCCGTAAACTGACCTAATTACAAACTAATACATTGCTGACTCTGCCAAAGTTTTGCTTTTTCAACTTCCTCAAAGGAAGACAAAAATTGTTTTCGTCAGATTCTATTTCCTGATCATGAAGATGCTTCATTACAAGTTTGGTGACAAAGATGAAGATATAACAAAGTTAATGACGTCTTAAAAACACAAGGATCTGAGGTCTTTTTTCAGACAGACATAAAATGGAAGAAAATATCTCATAAACCAAGTTTTACATAACAGCATGTTTTGTATTATCTATCATTATAAAGATGATAACTTTTATTCACTTGTGTAAAATAATATATATAAAAGGAGCACAGCACCTCTTTGGGTTAAATTAACAAGTTACAAAGACTCACTGTATGTATTCTTCAATTAAATCAACAAGTTACAAAGACTGACTGTGTGTATACTTCAAACTCAAATCACAAGATAAATATTCATGTATCAGTCATGGCATGCTATGCATTATCTAATCTTATCATATATACCTTCTTGTGTATTATCTAATCTTTTTATAAGGTTTTCTAGTGATTCTGTCAGATGCTTGTAAGACTTTTTCTTTTCTTCAAAGGTTACACCCACTTCTTCCTCAGCCTTTAAAATTATCAAACAAACAATGTCAAATATCAGATCACTAGAGGTTAAGGAAGTAATAACCAATCAATCAATAAATCTTATCAACAATGTATGGTAAAATAAAAGTTCCATCTTCTACCTTAATTATTCATGATTAAGTATTTACCTTGTGTTCCTAACATTTAAACTTCCTATCATATACATGTAATTATACTGACTGTGAAATAACAGATGACAGCAAGATAAGAAAATGAATTTAAAGGATTGGGTATATTGGTTTATGTCTGACTGTCTCTCCTGGCAGATGTAATAAACTGTTTACTCAGAGATATGTCTTTTTTTTGTAATTTTGATAGTATTATGCAAATGTGGAAATTAAAATGGCAATATTTTTTAACATGTAAAAGAGAATTGCAAATGCTTATACAAATGGATACCAAATATCATTGACTTAACATTAGTGGTTCATCTTAAACTGATGTAATCATAAACTAAACATGCAAAACTATGCCAAACATTCAAATTCAAGACCATGAGCAAAGGGGCTAAGCCAAATAATCTCCATGGGAATGAGATGTGAAATGCTAAAACATCTGCATACCAAATATAATTGACCTACATCTAACCACTAACTGTTCCGCATAAACTGACCTAATCACGAACTAATTCATGTAAACTATGCAAAAGTTTCAAAGTCAATAGACCATAACTGAGGGTGCAGAGCATAATATCCATGGAAATGAGGTGCCAATGCTCATACAACTGCATGCCAAATATAATTGACCAACCACTAGTGGTTCCCCATAAACTGACCTAATCACAAACTAATACATTGTTGACCCCCACCCCTCCACGAGACAAAAATTGCTTACATGCTACAACTCAACATTTGATGAGACCAAATATAAAATCATTTCCTTCCATAAAAGCCAAGAACAGTTTTAAGAAAATTATCTTGGTACAATGAGTGTTATAAAATTTTAAACTATCAGCAAACAGGGAGTGGCTTCATGAAAGAAGTAACAAGAGGCTCTCAAGAGCCTGAATCACTCACCTGTAACTTTTTGCTGAAAATCTTTCATCAATGATTATTTTTGCTTTTCAATATTTATTAATGAGTGGCTAAAAATTGCCATTTAAATGTTCTTTCTATCTGTCATATTTTCTTCAAAAGCAAAAAAAAGCATTTTACCCCTATGTTCCATTATAGCCATAGTGGCTATGTTTCTTGACGTGCAAGGAAATAAAATACAAAATTTAAACTAGATACTCTGAAACTCATTCAGCTCTAGTTTGGCTAAAAAAAATTCAGCAGTTTCAAAGCAGAAGATTTTTTAAAGTAAGGTAAGCTAACTAGATGAACAAAGTGTGAAAAATTGTTTTTAAAAGGCAATAACTCCTTAAGAGGTCAATTGACAATTTTGGTCATATAAACTTTTTTGTAGTTAACTGTTTATCTTTATCTTCAATAATATTCAAGATAATCACCAAAAACTGCAAAATTTCCTTAAAATTACCAATTTAGTGGCAGCAACCCAACAATGGGTTGTTCGGTTCGTCTAAAAAAAATTTATGGCTGATAGATAGGCCTATAAAATATTTATACCCGTCAGATTTGCTCTAAATGCTTTAGTTTTTGAGATATAAGCCAAAAACTGCATTTGACCCCTGGGTTCTATTTTTAGCCATGGGGGCCATGTTTGGTGATGGATCAAAACTTCGGATACAATTTATAAACTAGATACCCTTAGGAACATTCAGTTAAAGTCTGAAGGTATTTTTCTTAGTAGTTTCATAGGAGAAGATTCTAAAAATAGTTTACGTTGACGACGACGGAGCCAAGTGATGGCATAAGCCCCTTCGGGCCCGGTGAGCTAAAAATTGCTTACACACTATACCTCTACATAAACAAGATGCAAACCAAATATTAAATCATAACCTTTCATAGAAGCAAAAAAAAACTTTTCTACCCACGGTTATTCAGACAGACTGATGGATGGAGTAGAGTGGTTACTAAACATGCTTTTGCCGTTAGTGAAGATGGTAAAAATACACGTCTGACTGCAGAACACTTATGATCTATTTTCAGTGGCTGTGCACTGGTATTCCAGCTTTAAAAAGATATTTTTTTAACATTTGGCAAACCTGTAAAAACAAGTGAAACTGCAAGCTACTGCTCACTGATGATACCCCCGCCGCAACTGGATAATTTTAATAGTGTAATAAAATGCTTTGCTGAGCGCAGCCTGATACCACCGCAGAGATCGAACCCTGAACATTTGGGGCAAGTTTGGACACAAAATTCAAGCTTGATACTGTCTGAATTTGGATTGTGATCAAATTTTTGACATAATATAGGTTTCTGACACAAAATAAATGTGGTCAAAGATCTTAAAAATTTGAAATGGGACATTTAATTTACCTAGAATGGTCTGATATCTAAAATCTAACAACATGGTTAGATTCAGCATATAAAAAATAAATGGAGAATGTGTCCCAATGGACACAGATGATGCCTGCTTGCATACAACATTATAAAGGGACATAACTCAAGAACAATAAAAGTGACGCTACCCAAATTTGTACTTGATCTGAGTTTTGTGGTAATAAGTATTGTGTAAAGGTTTCATAATGTTTGGTTGGGGCAAACTTAAGTTACAGAACGGAAACTAAAAATTTTGCAATTTTTCGATTTATAAAGGGGCATAACTCGATAATGATTAAAGTGACGCCACCAAAATTCAACTTGATCTGTGTTCTGTGGTAAAAAGCATTGTGTATAAGTTTCATAACATTTGGTTGAGGCAAACTTAAGTTAGAGAACGGAAACCAATTTTGGGACGTACGGACGTACGTACAGACGGACAAGGGTAAAACTTAATGCCCCCTCCACTATGGCGGGGGCATAAAAACCCAAATATCTAATTTTAGTTGAAATCAAACAAAGTTTAATTTTGGACCCTTCAAACCTAAATATTGGCAAATTTGAAAACAGGGCCCAAAACAAAAAATCTAACTGCACAATAAGATTCAGCATATCATACAGCCGCAATAATACAGTTTTTGATGAAATCAAACAAACTATATTTTTGGACCCGTTTGACCTCAATGTAGACCAATTTAAAAATGGGGCTCAATATCCAAAAAAATAATACAAGGTTAGAACCAAGGCTTTACAAAACGGTCATATATATTCCGGACATTTATAAATTTACCGGACATTGTCCGCCTGGGAAAAGCATGAAACAGTCATCTACTTTTAGTTTTCAAGGCTTCCTTAAGAAACGGTCATTTAACATAATCAAAAATAAAATGCTTCGCTGAGCGCAGCTGGATACGACCGCAGAGGTCCAACCCTGAACAGTTGAGGCGAAAATGGACACAATATTCGTGCTTGATACAGGTCTGAATTTGGATTGTAATTAAATATTTGACACATAATAGGTTTCTGACACAGAATAACTGTAGTCAAAGAACTTAGAATTGGTTATATGATTTGAATTTATATTCATTTTTTTTGCTTTTGTGCAATACACCATGCTGTTGCGTATTGACCCCCCCTTTATTTTGCAAAAAAAAAATATTTGAAGAAATTTTCTTTTTATTTTCTGAAATCTGAAATGAGAAAAATTTGCCCCCCCCCCCCCCCCCCCCCCCCTCCTTTCCAAAAAAAAAATTCTTTCCCTCAAGATATGGTCATAATCTCAATTCAAATTTCCAATGGAGTTTGCAACCATAATTACCAATTCAAATACATCATAAAAGTCTTAAAAAGATAATTTTATAGCAGTGTAAGGGAGGTAATCCAACATTGTACAACATTGTACAATTTTGTTTTTGGATTACCTTCCTTACACTGCTTATAAATTGTCCATTAACCAGGAAACCCTTGTTTTTTTCCCTTTTTTTGCCCCTAATTCCTAAAAGTTTTGACCAATAACCCCCAAAAGCCAATCCTAACCATCCCTTTGTGGTATGGAAACTTGTGGTATAATTTCAGAGAGATCCATACACTTAAACACAAGTTATTGTCTATAAGTTACAAAAATGCTTATTTTTGGCCCCTAATTCCTTAACTGTTGGTACCATAACCCCCAAAATCATTCCCAAGCTTCCTTTTGTGGTATTGGACCTTATGGTAAAATTTCATAGAGATCCATTAACTTAAACTAAAGTTATTGTGCAAAAACCAATGTGTCTTCAAAACGACGACACCAACGTCATACCAATATACGACCGCATTTTTTGCTGTCGTATAAAAAATTGGAAGTTCAATCTTTTTGATTGATGATGGGAGTTTTTAACGACCTTGACTGGCTATAAAGCCCTCGCACGGTCGGTGCCGACCTTTTGCCTTAAACAGTCACATATTTCCATTCATAAAAGTGACATGATGATTAAGTACTATCAAAACAAACCCTACTTTAATACCTTATCATTTTAATCAAGGTTAATTAGTTGTCGGACAGCTGAAATTTACCTGTTCAGGCGACAGGTAAACTATTTTGTACCGGACATTGATCAGTCTATTCAAAGTTATTTTCTTACATTGAAGCAGTTTGCATCTAATTAATTTATTCAGAAAGATTAAAATTGTCAGAAATACGTTTATAAATATGATTTGATGAAAAATTTAAAAAGGTTTTAAACAAAAAATCATCAGAACCACGTTGTTTGAACTAGTACATGAGTGCGCATGTGCACAAGGTGGGAAATTTAATTATGCATCCTAATTCTTCAATAAAATGCTTCGCTGGGCGCAGCTTGATACGACCGCAGAGGTCGAACCCTGAACAGTTGGGGCAAGTATGGACACAACATTCAAGCTTGATACAGCTCTGAATTTGGATTGTGATTAAATATTTGACACAGCATAGGTTTCTGACACAGAAAGAATGTGGTCTAAGAACTTCAATTTTTTTAATTTACCTATTATGGTCCAATGTCCAAAATCAAAATACATGGTTAGATTCAGCATATCAAAGAACCCCATATATTCAATTTTTGTTGAAATCAAA